ATAAATAAAATCTTAAGAAAAAAAAACAAAATAGGTGCATCTTGCTTGGGTTGTGGTCAATAATTTGGACTCTGTATATTCCCTCAACCACCCCTCAACAGAATGACTGAAAGGAGGAACCCCCAACATAGGAAGGACTCAGAGACCATGATCTCTGCCATGGAACTCATGGATATAGATATAAGCAAGATGTTGGAAACAGACTTCAGGGTAACAGTTACAAAGACAATAGCTAGGATGGAGAAAACCATTAATGGCAATATAGATTTTCTAAGGGCAGAAATGAGAGCTGCTTAAAACTTAAAAATGCTATTAATGAGATCCAATCTAATCTAGATACTCTAACAGCTAGGGTAAATGAGGCAGAAGAATGAATTAGTGATCTAGAAGACAAACTGATAGAAAAGAAGGAGCAGGAGGAGGCCTGGAATAAACAGCTTAAAATCTATGAAAACAGAATTAGAGAAATAAATGACACCATGAATCGTTCCAATGTTAGAATAACTGGGATCACTGAGGGAGTGGAGAGAGAGGACTAGAAGATATATTCAAGGACATCATAGCCAAGAACTTCCCTAATCTGGAGAATAAAACAAGCATTTGTGTCCTAGATGCAGAGAGGACTCATCCCAAGATCAAGGAGAACAGACCAATGCCCTGACATGTAATAGTAAAACTCATGAATCTTGGAACCAAGGAAATCATCTTAAGGACAGTTAGGGAGGAACATCAGAATAACATCAGACCTGTCCACAGAAACCTGGCAAGCCAGAAAGTGCTGGCAAGATGTATTCAGGGTACTAAATGAGTAGAACATGCAGCCAAGAATTCTTTATCCAGCAACAGTGACATTCAGAATGGATGGAGAGATGAAGAGCTTCCAGGACCTGTAGATACCAGAAGAATATGTGACCACTAAGCCAAGAGAAGGAAATATTAAGCTAGAAATATTAAGGGGGGTTCTATAAAAGGAGAAAGACCCCATGAGTGTTATAGAACAGAAATTTATAGAGACAATCTATAGAAAGAAAAGATCTGGGCGCCTGGGTGGCTCAGTGGGTTAACCCTCTGCCTTCGGCTCAGGTCATGATCTCAGGGTCCTGGGATCGAGGCCTGCATCGGGCTCTCTGCTCAGCGGGGAGCCTGCTTTCTCCTCTCTCTCTATGCCTGCCTCTCTGCCTACTTGTGATCTCTCTCTCTCTCTGTTTCAAATAAATAAATAAAATCTTTAAAAAAAAAAAGAAAGAAAAGATCTAAATTAATAAAATTATGAATGAAAGGGGAGAGATCATGACTAACACCAAGGAAACAGAAACAATGATCAGAAATTATTATCAACAACTATATGCCAATAAATTAAGCAATCTGGAAGAAATGGATGCATTCCTAGAAACCTATAAGCCACCAAGAGTGAAATAGGAAGAACTTGACAACCTGAATAGACTAATAACCAGTAATGAGATTGAAGCGGTGAGCAAAAACCTCCCCAAAAAACAAGAGTCTGGACCTGATAGATTCCCTGGGGAATTCTACCAAATGTTCAAAGAAGAAATAATATTCTCCTGAAGCCATTTCAAAAAATAGAAACAGAAGGAAAACTTTCAGACTCATTCTATGAGGCCAACATTACCTCGATCCCAAAACCAGGCAAAGACCCCACCCAAAAGGAGAATTTCAGACCAATATCCCTGATGAATATGGATGCCAAAATTCTCAACAAGATCCTAGCTAATAGGATCCAACAGTACATTAAAAGGATGGTCCACCATGAGCAGGTGGGAGTTATCCCTGGGATGCAAGGGTGGTTCAACATTCGCAAATCAATCAATGCGATAGAATACATGGAGAAGAGAAAAGAACCACATGGTCCTCTCATTTGATGCAGAAAAAGCATTTAACAAAATACAGCATCCTTTCCTGATTAAAACTTTACAGAGTACAGGGATGGAGGGAACATTCCTCAATTTCATAAAATCCAGCTATGAAAAACCCACAGCAAATATCATTCCCAATGGGGAAAAGCCGAGAGCATTTTCCTTAAGATCGGAAATATCACAAGGATGCCCACTCTCACCATTACTGTTCAAATAGTACTAGAAGTCCTAGCAACAGCAATCAGACAACAAAAAGAAATAAAAGGTATTCAAATTGGCAAAGAAGAAGTCACTCTCTTTGCAGATGACATGAAACTTTATGTGGAAAACCCAAAAGTCTCCACTCCCAAATTACTAAAACTAATATAGCAATTTGTTAATGTGGCAGGATACAAAATCAATGACCAGAATTCAGTTGCTTTCTTATACACTAGTAGTTTAACTGTACAAAGAGAAATTAGAGAATCTATTTGCAATAGCAACAAAAACCGTAAGATACCTGGGAATAAACCTAATGAAATAGGTAAAGGATCTATACTCTAGGAACTACAGAACACTCATAAAAGAAATTGAAGAAGACACAAAAAGGTGGAAAAACGTTCCATGGTCATGGATCAGAAGAATAAACATTGTTAAAATGTCTATGCTGCCTCGAGCAATCTATATTTTCAATACCATCCTGATCAAAACATCAACAGCATTTTTCAAAGTGCTGGAATAAACAATCCTAAAATTTGTATGGAACCAGAAAGACCCCAAATCACCAAGGAAATGTTGAAAAGAAAAAGCTGGGGTATCACGTTGCCTGATTTCAAGCTCTATTACAAAGCTGTGATCACCAAGACAGCATAGTACTGGCACAAAAATAGACACATAGACCAATGGAACAGAATAGAGAGCCCAGATATAGACCCTCAACTCTATGGTCAGATAACCTTCGACAAAGCAGGAAATAATATCCAGTGGAAAAAAGATAGTCTCTTCAATAAATTGTGCTAGGAAAATTGGACAACTATATACAGAAGAATGAAACATGACCATTCTCTTATACCATACACAAAGATAAACTCTAAATGGATGAAAGACTTCAGTGTGAGACAGGAATCCATCAAAATCCTAGAGGAGAACTTAGTAACCTCTTCGACATCAGCCACAGCAACATCTTTGAAGACATGTTTCCAAAGGCAAGGGAAACAAGAGTGAAAATGAACTTTTGGGACTTCATTAAGATCAAAAGCTTCTGCACAGCGAAGGAAACAGTCAACAAAACAAAGAGGCAACCCAAAATTCCCAAAGAGGAATGGAAGAAGATATTTACAAATGACACGACAGACAAAGGGCTGATATCCAAGATCTATAAAGAACTTCTCAAACTCAACCCCCCCAAAACAAATAAGTTAATAAATGGGCAGAAGACACAAACAGACACTTCTCAAAAGAAGACATACAAATGGCCAACACTCACATGGAAAAATGTTCATCATTGTTAGCCATCATGGAAATTCAAATCAAAACTACATTGAAATACCACCTTACACCAGTTAGAATGACAAAAATTGACAAGATAGTAAACAACAAGTGTTGGACAGGATGTGGGGAAAGGGGAACACTCTTACATTGTTGGTGGGAATGCAAGTTGGTATAGCTACTTTGTAAAACAGTGTGGTGATGCCTCAATAAATTAAAAATAGAGCTACCCTATGACCCAGCAATTGCACTACAGGATATTTACCCCAAAGATACAGATGTAGTGGAAACAAGGGCCACATGCACTCCAATGTTCATAGCAGCAATGTCTACAATAGCCAAACTGTGGAACGAACCAAGATGCCCTTCGACAGATAAATGGATAAAGAAGATGTGGTCCAGATATACAATGGAATATTACTCAGCCATCAGAAAGGGTGAATACCCAACTTTTGCATCAACATGAATGGGACTGGAGGAGATTATGCTGAGTGAAATAAGTCAAGCAGAGAAAGTCAATTATCATATGGTTTCACTTGCTTGTGGAACATAAGGAATAGCATGGAGGACATTAGGAGAAGGAAGGGAAAAATGAAGGGGGAGTAATGGGGGGGGTGATGAACCATGAGAGACTATGGATGCCAGGAAACCAGCTGAGGGTATTAGAGGGGAGTGGAGTGAGGGATGTGTTAGCCTGGTGATGGGCATTAAGGAGGGCACGTATTGCATGGAGCCACTGGGTATTATATGCAATCAATGAATCATGGAACACTACCTCAAAAACTAATGATATACTATATGGTAACTAACATAACATAATAATGGAAAAAAAATCTTTTTTCCCCTAAACAAAATGAAAAGAAATTGGAGGCTCTGACTGACCCTGAACTGTTGGCATGGACAAAATTGGAAACCTTTGTATAATCATGTATTTTTAAAAACAGAATCCTGGTATACAAATTGTTTTGTGACTTGCTAATTTTATTTATTACAAGCACCATTCTATGTGACTGAATTATCTTCTAAAACCTCTCTCATACAGCTAAGTATTCTGTTGTTCGAGTTTCAAAGTATTTTAAACGAATTCCTATCAGTGAATGTTTAGGTGATTTGTATCTTTTCAAAACCATAAACTGTGTGGAGATGACGATCCCTGTAAATAAATCCATATTCACAATCATGATTATTTTCTTAGGATATTTTTAGAAATTTTACAGTGCAAAAGGATATGCATTTGAAGCATATATATATATATATATATATATATATATATATATTACTTTTATTACCTAGGCAGGGCAATGTTATATAGATAGAGAGATAGATAGATCGATTGATCATTGTTTTGCCTAGCTGTGATCCAAAATAGTATTTGCTAACTTATGTGCCCATCAGCCAAGTATGAGAGTGTATTTTTCTCTATATTTGCTCAGGACACAGATATTATTCCTTTGTGAGTATTAGTAGCTTTATTTCATTGTCATAAGCACAGACACACACACACTTATTTGTACGTCTGTGTGTATCAGATTTTATAGCTATAAGCACTCTTACAGAATATTTTATCTTATGAACTTGTCAGTCTGTTATATTGAACGAGTCTGTAAACATATGATTCTGATATATCTGCTCCTAACTGAAATTATCTTGACTTCCCAGGTGCCTGTGTGAACATCACCCACAGCCAGTGTCATATGCTGCCCTACCAAACCACGCTAACACCCTTCTTCTCGATTGTCAAAAACATGGAAGTGGAGAAGTTCCTCAAGTTCTTCATGTACCTCCATCGCCTCAGCTGCTATCAACATATCATGCTTTTCGGCTGTAGCCTCGCCTTCCCCGAATGTGTTGGTGATGGTGATGACAGGTATTTTGGAATCAAAATCATCCCATGATAGGAGTCAGTTGTCGCAGAGGTGTCTGAGAGGAATGAAATCATCCTGGGCTACCACTGTTTATTTTTGTTCAAGGAGAAAATATCCCATACCAGTCATAGCCAGTTGTAATTCTTTCAAACTGGAATTTTTTTTGTGAAAACCTGGAATGCTTTTATTTCTGGGGAGAAATTATTCTGTATGTGAGATGGAGGCAAACAGTGGGGTAGCTGCTGCAGTGAGGATCTGGCAGAAGACAGCACACTCAAAGGGGTGACAGAAAAGAGTTTATTTAAGAGAAGATTTATAGAGGTATGGACAGGTTAAGAGACTGAATCAATGATGGGAGGCACCAGAGTCTCATGAAGGGATGCATTTCCACCATGCAAGACGTGGAGGGGGAAAAGGGCAGACAGCCAGGTGGCAAGAGGTGTAGCTATGGGTAAGGGGTCTTCCAACCAGCCAAGTCCTGTAAGCCTAGGCTGAGGAGCCCATCCACTGCGAGCCAACCTGTAAGCACTGCAGGAGAGAGAAGACATAAATCCTCTGACCTCACTCTACTCCTGCCCTCCCATCTGCCAGGGCCTCCCACCATCTGATTTTACCAACAGCCATTGGGCAAGGGTGTGTTATTGATGGGAACACAACAAGTGAGATCCAAAATCTCATCCAAATATTACTGGGTCCAAAATCCCAAATCTCATCCTCTGAAACAGGTATAGGTGGGATGCTGGGTGGTTCTTATGGTCAACACTGGAACTCAGTACAGGGTGAGGAGAGGGGGAGGGGTAGATGCAGAGGGACAAACAGAGAAGGTCTAGTATAATATCAAATACAATTAGAAAGAATTTTCTTGGTTTGGGTGGGGAAAGGAACTTGTGAGTGAGTGTGCTTATGGATGTGCCTTGTAAGCTCTTTTGTTTTTGGAGATAAAATTGACATACAGTGTTTTATCAGTTTCAGGTGTACCACATAATAATTCAATATTTTGATATATTTCCAAATGATCATCACAATAAGTCTAATTAACATCCATCACCACACAGCTGTAAATGTTCTTTTTCTTGTAATAAGAACTTTTAAAATTAACTCTCTTAGCAACTTCTGAATATATAATATAGTCACCATATTGTATATTACATCGCCATGAATTAGCTTATAACTGGAAGTTTGTACTTTTTGACCATCATCACCTTATTGAAATAACATAATTTCAATATTATATTATTATACTGAAATAATAATTTTCAATAAGAGTAAATCAATGAAAAGTATGTTATGGAATTTTTAAGTTTACTAAGTATACATTTAAAAAATTTCTTCAAAATGTGCGTTAAGTACATAAGTACATAAAACATCAATTATTTTCTGAATTAAAATGTTAGGGAGTTTTCAGAATAATAATGTTGGAATGAAATTTGTTTTCAAGTGCAAGTAGTTTCCATTTTTATTTTAATTAGTATATAAAATATGTTCTGAACAGGACGAAGGCATTTATTGTTTTCACTGGGGAAAGGCTGCATTTCCGCAGAATAAAATCTGGGTAGAATAGAAACAGTAGATTGTTTGTTGGAGAAGTAAGTAAAGAACTATGAGCAGATACTGCTTTCAGGAAAACATTTCACTAGAAAGAATCTTATGCAAAGCATGCTTTCATGGTAACAAGAGATAAACAGTGGCAGTAAAACATGGTGGTTGTAATATTTTTCTAGAGCTGCTGCAACCAATTACTACAAGCTGGGTGACTGAAATAGACATTTGTTGTCTCATAGTTCTAGAAATTAGAGGTCTAAAATCTGACAGGGCTGCGCTCCCAGAGGGGGTTTTGAGGGTGTAGAAGTCATTTTCTCCCTTCGCCAGCTTCTGGTGGTTTCAGGCTTTCCTAGACCTTTGGCCATGGTTTGACCTTTGTTTGACCTTTGGCCAACGCTCTCCCTTCATCTTCACATAGCCTTCTCTGTGTGTCTCCTTCGCTCTTTTGGACACTTGTCATTGGTTTAGGTAGCCCAAGATGATCTGATCATCTGAACGCTGATCTCAGGGTTCTTAACTTAATTATGCCCACAACGACCTTTTTTCCAAGTAAGGTAATATTCACAGGTTCCAGCAATGAGGACGCAGACACATCATTTTGGGGTCCCTCCACTCAACACGCAGCAGTGGCTGAGAAAGCAGGCTATGGAGCCATGTGTCCCAGCCTTCTCCCCTGTAAAATGGAGATTTTACAATGAAAGTTCATGTGAGGATCAAATGACAGAGGGTACCTGGCTTTTATGAAGAGCTCAAGCAATGTTAGCAATGGCTATCAAATCATAGGTTGAGGAGAGGTAGTACAACTGAAATAAAGAGCATAAATGGTATTCCTAACATTCCTAAATATTGAAAGGCTACAGAAAAATGTGGAATACCATATGGATTAAAAGAAAATTAGGTCGAATACTCAAGGTCATTGGAGTTGGATTCTTGTTCCACTTCTCCTTAATTTCAAACATTTTCACTTACTTCTCTTTTCTTGAATTTCTCTATGGAGTCATATGGGTCCATAAATGAAACAATGAAAGAAATCTTCCTGAAGACCCTGAATTCATTTTGGTCATCCTTTTTTTTTTTTTTTTTTTAATATTTTGTTTATTTATTTGACAGAGAGAGAGATCACAAGTAGGCAGAGAGGCAGGCAGAGAGAGGGGGAAGCAGGCTCCCTGCTGAGCAGAGAGCCTGATTGCGAGGCTCCATCCCAGGACCCTAAGACCATGACCTGAGCTGAAGGCAGAGGCTTAACCCACTGAGCCACCCAGGTGCCCCTGGTCATCCTTCTTAATATAACTCAACCTCCACTCTCACTTAAATCAGTTGTGAAATTCTAGTTAAGCTCCTCCTAGTCTTCAGGGCACTTTTAGGTAAAATTTGTTTTTCTCCCGACCTGGTTCATCCTGAAAAAATGGTCTCATGGAAGTGTTTTCCATTTTCTGTTATAATAGATGATGATTTATAGTCACTTTTTAGATACACTTTGGGGACTTACCCTATTTTTTTTGTTACATTTATTATTATATTTAATTTTATAATTACGCTTCCAGACCAGTGCTTCATTCATGCTGTCATTTAGTGTGTGCATGGAAACCAGAAGCTAAATTTAGTAAACAAAGTAGGATCATAAATGTAAAGTGTATTGTAGAAAATAGTTCAAATACAGTTTTCTTATATTTCATTATTTTCGATCATCCATTATACTAATTTTCTCTAACTATTCAAATAATGGAAAATTGCTTATATTCCATCCTAAACGAAGTAGCTACTTAGTAATATTTAAACTTCAGTTTAAAAAGATCTAGTGGGGGCACCTGAGTGGCTCAGTGGGTTAAGCATCTGCCTTTGGCTCCCGTCCATGATCCCAGGGTCCTGGGATAGAACCTGATAGCAGGCTCCCTTCCTCAGTGAGGAGCCTGTTTCTCCCTCCCCCTCTGCCTGCTGCTCCCCTTACTTGTGCTCTCTCTCTCTGCCACATAAATAAATAAATAAGTAAAGAAATATAAATCCTTTAAAATAAATAAATAAAGAATAAAAAGATCTAGTGGGATGTATAAATAGCATAGTTTTTTACATGCCCGTTTGAGACCTCAAATGCTCATTAACTACATTTTATAACAATTAATTAGTATTAACTTATTAGCTATTTAACTAATAGCTAATTAACTTATAGCTAATTAACTTATTAATAGCTATATTAATAATAATATAGCTATTAATAGTAACTAATATTATATTATATTAGTTAACTTAGTTATATTAGTTATATTAGTTTACTATATATTATATATAGTTATTATATTAATAATAACTAATAGCTAATTAACTTATTAATAGCTAATTAACTTATTAGCTATTAATAAGTATGTGTATCAGGGTTCCTGGGAGGCTCAGTGGGTTATTGGGTCGGGTCGTGATCCCAGGGTCCTGGAATCAAGCCCCACGTCAGGCTCTCAGCTCGGTGGGGAGCCTGCTCCCCCCCGCCCCACGCCCACCTCTCTGCCTACTTGTGAGCTCTCTCTGTCAAATAAATAAATAAAATCTTTAAAAAAAAAAACAAGTATGTGTATCATAGACTATAACATAGGCTAACTGAAGTGGTACCTAATTTATATGGATTCAGTGAAATTTATCTCAAACTATAGAGAACTAGTGGATGAACCGTTTGGATAGCCTTAAAAATATATGGGTTAGAAGCAGTGGCTTGAAAATATCAGCAGGTAGCTAGAGAGACATCCACCGTTCCTGGGCCAGGAGAATAACAGTGGTTTCTGGATGGCTTTTTGACACACCAGACACAATTAAGGTCTCTGGAAGAGAAGACCGGTATTATAGCCACATGCTTTTGATATTTAATGATCACTTATACCCAAGTTGTTTAAATAATGGACCTATAACATTATCAAAACTGAAAGGGGGTCAGTTTGGCTCGGAAGGTCTAGTTTTGCTTCTAGAGGACACGCAGGAGACCTGCTAATGTGGGATGATGGTCACCCCACCTGTGTCTTTTAATATTTTGCAGAGAAACTCAGTGCTCAGGAGATAAGTCCTTAACGTCAAAAACTTGACATGTTTGCTATTGATTTTTTTTCCTCCTCTGGACTATTGATTTTTCACTAGGTCCTTCACAGAAATTCTTAATAGATGTGGAAATGAAATAAAAATTCTTTATTTAGCCAGATTACTGGAGATTAAAGATTATATTTCAAACCTAGGAACTACAGGACAGTTTGTAATGTATTTAACCCCAGTAGGATTGTGATAGGGATCCAACAAGTTTCTTCAAATGAGCTTCTTAAAAAATGCTATGCTTTTTCCTAAATAAGTATGTTCACTGGAAATTAGAAAATTTAATCTGGCAACTACAGAGAAAGCACTTGAGGTGCTTCTGGGTGTCTCAGTCAGTTGAGGGTTTGCCTTCAGCTCAGGACATGGTCCCGGTGTCCTGGGATTAAGACCCACATGG